TGCATCTCCATCTCTACTCATAATTGTGTAAAAAAAAGTATATATTCAGTTCAGTTTTAATAGCTCTACCTACTCCATCTGGATTTGGATGTAGTGAGGTCCTCATTAAGATTTAATTGCAGATAGGATGTTTCAACATCTTTTAGCCTTTCCCTTTGAAAAACGTGCTTGAATTTCACTTAGGTGTGGCTACTGCATTTTTCTATCTACCCTCAAATTTTCAGAAAATACTTTCCACTTGTACTTTTCCACTTCACTTTCTTTTCCTCCACTCCTTATTGCTTCCATGGATTTAACTTTACTGTTAGACTGAAACGACTTATGCCAAGGGTAGCACTAGCTGTTTCTTTGCTGAACATCCTGGGCTGCTCTTTCCTGAGCAGTATGTATTTTGTTGACTTAAAATGTATGTATGTATTTATGCATGTATGTACTGAGACAGAGTCTTACTATGTAGTTCAGGCTGGCCTGAACTCGCTGTATAGCTGAAGCTGCCTTGCAACTTAAAGCAGTGTATTATTCCCAGTGGGCATTTAAAACCTTTTCCTGTGTTTCCCTTAAGGAACCTGTGTGTCGTTTAAAACAAATGAGGTGGAATTCACATAATACATAAGTAAGCATGCTCAAATACCCCATTTTACAGGTGTTTAGGGTTCAGTTTATGCACCACTAGTGCTCTCTAGTTTAAAAACTTCTTCTTTACCTAAACTCCATGTTACACTCATATTCAAAGCAACCCCATCCCAGTATACATTCCCCTGCCTCCTACCATTAGTAGCCTCTAATTTTCTTTCTGATCTTTGGGTTTTTTTTTTTTTTGTTGTTCTTGTTTGTTTTTTGTTTTGAGACAAGAGCTCACCATGTAGTACAGGCTAGCCTTGAACGCACTGTGTCTCCTAGGCTGCATGGTGATCTCCTTCCTCAGCCTCCCAAATGCTGGGATTACAGGTGTGCGCCACTATACCCCACAACTGATTTTCTTTTTATGTTTCTGTATTTGCCTGTATGTGCCCCCTAATGTGTGACTTTATGTCTGGCTTCTTTCACTTAGCATTGTGATTTTAAGTTTTTGTCTTAGTTGCAGCATATCTTAGTACTTAATTCCTTTTTGTGACTGAATAATATTCCGTTATGTGCATATGCCACAATTAGTCATTCATTTATGGACATTTGAGTTGTTTCCATTCTCTTGCTATTACGAATAACACTGGTGTAACACAGTCATGTACAGCCTTCTGTGAGGATAGATATTTTTGCTTTTCTTGGGAATGTACTTAGGAATGGAATTGCTGAGTTATTTGGTAACTTTTAACTTTTTGAAGAATCGTATGTCGTTTCTGATTTAATACTTTAACCAACTTTAATGGATTTTATCTTCTGTGTATCCCTGTTTCTATTTATTTCTGTCACCCTGTATTTGAGATAAGTCTTTTAAAATTATTGTAATAGATACCTTTTTAGGTTGCTTTGTTCTCCCATAATCTTATGTATGTCACCATCTACACACTAAAAGATTGTGGGTTTTTTTTTTTTTTTTTTTTTTTTGTCTTTTTGAGACAGGGTCTTGCTATGCAGTTCAGGTGGCCTTGAGCCCACTTTATATATAGCTCAGACTGGTCTTAAACTTGCAATGATCCTCCTGCCTCAGCCTCCTGAGTGCTGGGATTACAAGCATACCATCACACTTTGCAATTATATGCTTTATGGAATGCGTAAGGACATTTTCAAGGATAATTGCAGAGTCTACCCAGCTACATTTATAAAATTTAAATGGACTTCTGTTGGAAAAATACAACATCCAGGTGATGTCTGGAGAAATTACAGAATCTTTCACAAGACACTCTTATGTACGATATTGGAGAAAATGATCTGTGTAAAAATAATTGTCTCTTACCACCTTTGGGGTTTGGCTACAAGAACTTCCTTAGGTAGAAAATTTGTGAATGCTGAAGTCTTTGAGGAGTCACATGGAAAACAGCTGTTTTTATTGCATCCGTCTGTGCTATACTGTATCTTCTCAGTTGACAGTAAAATGAAACTATTTGTATTAGTCAGTTTACTGTCACTGGGACATAATACCTGACACCTACAACTTAAAGAGGAAAGATTTAACCTAATTCACAGTTTGGGGAATTCAGCCCATGGTGACTGGCTCCAAGTCAGAAACATCATGGTAGAAGGGCACGATGGGAGAAAACTACTCACCTCATGGCAGCTAGGAAGCAAAAAGAAAGAGCCCAGGCCAGAGATGCACCCTCGAAAGGCATGACCCCAGTGACAGACCTCTTCCAGTCAGGCTCACTTCCTAATAGAATATTTAGCTGTGAGCACATAATGGACTCATGTGAATATGGCACCCTATGTATAATTCAGTCACCTTCCAGAGCCCCACTTCTGAACACATAAGACTTTTTTGGAGATGATGTGTTTTTAAAAATCTCAGATGTAATCCCAGCACTTGGGAGACTGAGATAGGAGGATTGCCATAAGTTCAAAGCCAGTCTGGGCCACATAGGTCAAAACCTGACTGAACTACATAGCGAGATGCTGCCTCCAAAGGAAAAAAAAAAAAAGTATATATGTATACATATTGAAATACAGTACTGATTTTAGCTAATCGTGAATTTTATTTTGCTTATCAGTGAAAAATATTAGACTTAACTCACATTTCAAGAAAAGAAATTCTTAACATTTATATATGAACATCCTCTCTTGGCTCTCTGTATGTGTTGGCATGTTGGGATGTTAAATCCTAAGCACTGAAATAACACCGTCTCTGATTCCTTAAAGATTTACTATCTTCTTCTCAGTTACCGGCACACTGTGTTCAGTCTTTCATAGCACCCTGGATTGTGATACCCTTGCTTCCATGGTTAGACTCTCGTAGGTGTCACATGAGAATCATGCACCTGCTCAGATTCCCAGCAGGTTCTTTCTAAGTCAATCTTTTTTCCCATTTCCCAGTTTGAGCCACCAAACCCTCAACTTCCCTGGCAGGGAAAACAATAATATTGTTGATGATGGATGTGTATGTTCAGCATGATAGTGGTGATGGCTTCAGAGGTTTGTTCTTACATCAGTACTTAGCAAGCGGTGTAACAGTGTTGGATGAACCTGTGGCACACATGTCACACGTTTCACTGAAAACTCGGCAAGTTCCACCATCACTGGTATGTAATTTAGTATGTAGAGTTCACTGGAAGTCAATTGTACTACATTAAAGCTATTGATAAAAGTCCTTGTGGAGCTTGGTGGCAAATGCCTGTAATCCCAGCTACTAAGGAAGCTGAGTTGGAGGAATTTACAAGCCTAGACAACATGGTAAGATACCTATCTTAGAAAAATTCTCATGCGCTGGACATCAAATTCTCAGGTACTATCTACTGTTAATGGATTTATAGTTCATTACTTATTAAGCCTACCGTCCCCAGAAATCATTTAGGATCTGTATGCCTCCTTAAGTTTCCTCTAAGATCTTTGCTTTTTGCACCTCCTTTTTTTCCTCTCTCATCCTTTATCCATACCAGAAAACTCTTCAGAAGAGAAAAACTTCATAATGGCAAAGCCATTACTGATAGGCTGCTCCTGGGTGCTGATAGCTGTGGCCCTCACAGGGACCAACACACATGGGTCCCATGGAGTACTCTCTCTTCTCTGTTCAGAGTGGTTGGATACATGAAAACACCAACTGAAGACGTGTGTCTCAGGACTGCAGAGGCATGTCAGATAAACAGATATATTAGTGTACCCCATTGGGGGAACATCGGGGAGCCACTGCCCTGTGCCTCTCCTCCATTCCAGGAACCCTGGATCGGAGGAACCCAGGTGCCCGAGTCCAATCCACCACACCTCGGGACTGGCAGCCAGTGCAGGAAGCACCCCCGTGCAGCAGTGGGCTGATTCAGAGAACACAGGGAAGCATCAAGATGAGAGCACAAAATACACTCTCAGACCTCAGCCCTCACAGAACAAGTTTAGGAGACACAGACATAGCAGAAATTGGAAGTCACACACCTCAGATTTCTGAAAAGATAACAACTGAAGTAAAGAAGCAACTTAGTTTTTGTATTGTTTGGTTAGTTTTACATGCCTATGTCTGATGGTCTGAACAGTTATTTTGAAGATAACGAGGCATTATGGTAGCGGTTGTTAATTTCCTATTATGTTGTTTTGAAGTCTTGTATCATTTTCGTGGTTTTGTTTTATTCTGTTTTGTTTGATTTTATTATGTCTGATGGTATGGGCAGCTCTTTTGAAGATAACAAGATATAATAGCCTTTGTTGATTTCCTATTATCTTGTTTTGAAGTTCTGTATCACTTTCAATGTTTTATTTTGAATGGCTTTATTCTATTTTATTTTGTTTGGTTTTATTTTCTTAAGAAAGCCAGATATTAGTATAAGTGAGAGTTACAGTATAAAGTGAGAAGGTATTTTAGGCACTGTCAGTGTTTCTGAAAGTATGCCTTGTCGACCACAGCATAAGAATTACTCTTTCTGTTTTGATTCCTGGTACCTCTGCACTAGAATCTCCAAAGGATGGGTGTGGATATCAGCTTTTACAAGCTTTTTTTTTAAATTAAGACAAGGTCTCCCTATATGTCCCAGACTGATCTTGAATTGACTGTAGCCCAGGCTGGCCTTGAACTTGCAGGGATCTTCCTGCCTCAACCTCTTAAGTGCTGGGATTATAGGACTGGCTACCATACTTGGTTTAACATGCTGTTTTAAAGAGCAGGATAGGGTTATCTAAAATGGTGTGGGGTTGGTTAGACACCAGGATAGAAATAAGATGGTAGAAGAAGTTGACTGAGTGGTCTGCTCTACCCGTTGCCTTCTTGGGGTGTGGAAATGGAGATAAAATGTTCTGGTGATCAGGTGATGCTTTGTTTGACACGGTGTACCCATCTCACAGCTTGGAATTAAACATTTGCTCAGCTCCTGTAACTTAGATGTTGGGGGAAAATTAAAAGTTTTGATCAAAATTTTCTTTTTTTGCAGAACTCAACAAAAATCCAGTGGAAGGCTTTTCAGCAGGTTTAATAGACGACAATGACCTCTACCGGTGGGAAGTCCTTATTATTGGCCCTCCAGATACACTTTAGTAAGTACAGTGGGACCTGTATCTTTACAATGTGCTGATACTAGAACTGTTCTAGCAAACTGATGTGCAGATATTTTTTAAAGAGCAGATAAAATGACCTTGTCCAGTGTAATTTGTACTGAATTTGATCCTGTCTTGGGTTTTTGTGTTCTGCTTGAAACTCTTATGTCTGAAATCTGTTCTTAGAAATAAAGTTTCAGGGGCAGGGGATCTAGCTCAGTGGTTGCAAGCGCCTGCCAGCAAGCACGAAGTCATGAGTTCTATCTCTGATACCGGAAAAAAAAGGTTTCAGAATATTACAGAACTATCATTTCAGAAATTCAGATACTTTGATACCTGGATAAGTTTCTTCCTGTAAAATTATTTTATTATAAGGTTATATGGAAATAGTAGTTTTAAAAATTATGTCCCAGAAATTACAAAATTAAGTTTACCAGTATAAGGGAAGAAAAAAATTGAAATGTTTGCCCCTCATCCATTCTTTTGTGCTTACTGTATCTTGACCCCCAAAGAGATACTATAATTTTAAGGGCCAAAGCTTTATCATTCTTAAACTTTTAACAGTTTAGTAAAGCATAGCATTACATATTTCTGGGAGATTTTCAAACAGGCCATATTGTATAAATCTGTGTTTTGTGGAGGATGGAGAGAACTTTCAAGATGATCTGTTTTAGTGGCTGTCTAATTGGATTTCCATAGAACACTGGTTAGAGAAAAAGTATTCTGACCCTAAAATGGACTGATGCCCACTTTCTTCCAGTTTACAAAAGTTATTATTTGGGTATAAATTGATGTGTTAAGATACAAATTGCAATGTTTTGGTACCAAAGAGCCATAGAAAAATAGTTTCTTAAATATGTCACATTAAAAAGACCAATCTTACTATCTTTTGCTCTGTTTACAAACTAACTTACTATTACTTATTATGCTATAAAATTGAGTCATCCTCCTGATGGTGGTGACTGGTGTAAGCTACATGCTTTTTATAGAAGCAGAGGTATCATGCGTACACTGCAGGAGCAGTGTATGATGAAATAATCTTCTCAAAGCCAGACCACAGTCCCTGGACTGCACTTCCTCACTCGCCCTGTTTCTTACTGGTGCTGTGTGGGAAAGAACTTAGATGCATCAGGTACTCTTCTGTGATGGACAGGTGGTTACTTTTGGGTCTTTCTGGTATAGTCCTCCCTTCTCCCCCTCCACCAGTTGGAGAAAAATACTTGGAGCTACTGTATACCAGGACACACTGAGATACACAAAATGGAGTTATAGTGTGGATGTTCATGCTTTCTGTAGCCTGAGAAGTGATTTATGCAGTCTTAACCATTGACAATTAGAATTTTTGCTGTTGCATCTCCTGGTATCACGCCTGCATTGATACGTTTTGCAAGCTGAGATGGCATTAAGATTTTGGGGCTGGTAAGAGGACTCGTTGGAAATAATGTTCCAGGCAGTCCTTCATAACCCTTTGTTATTTATTTATTTACTTATTTTTGGTACTGGGGATGAAACTCACAACCTCGTGCTTGCCAGGCAGATGCTTAGGGTGCTGAGCTAAATCCCCAGCACGCCTACTATTACTTGAATGCAAAATTTTTAAGTTCTGCATACCAAACTGTATACAATAATGGAGTCTATGAGCTTAATGACATTCATATCTGTTCTGGTTTTTTTTAGCCACAGTGCCTGGGGGAGGGGAGGCATAGTAACATTCCAGTGATGAAATCTAGCTACTCTTTTAGTAGATATGAGATGGAAATTCTCCCTAAACCCATTTCTGTTTAGAGCATCGGGTAAGACTCCGGCATTGACCTTCAACTCTTACGGGCTCACTGCATTTTTACATGGTTTTCATGAAGTTGTTGCAAGCATTATTAGCTGGTCCATGTAAGTCTTCCATTCCTCCACCTGCAACAAAGGGAGCTACTTTATAATACTGTTCTGATTAATGGATCATTCTTTTCACTCATAAAACCTGCTTTGGTTTTCCTTGTACCTCTGTAGTGTATACTTGCTGATAGACACACTGGTGACCACTATTTCCTCGAGATTAGTAGTAGCCTTTGCTTGGGAAAGTGAGAGAGTGTGCATTCCAGGGCAGGTCCTGAGGAAGATGACAGGAAAGTAGCTAGGGTTACAGGCACATTGAGGAGAGGAAAGGTTTTGTAGGCTAGTACAGCGAAGAGAATAGAAGAATTGAAAAGGTTGAAAAGGCACCCAAACCTAAGTGATTAGCTCATCCCTTAATTAAATCATAGGAAAAAATACTGTACCAAAATTTAATAAAGTCTCATGTGATTTTTTTTGTGAGGTGAGTCTTTTTGAGACAAGGCCTCTATGTGCACTTCAGGTCGAGCTTGAGCTCACTTTGTGGCCTAGGCTGGTCTCAAAACTCAACAGTCCTCCTGCCTCAGCCTGCTGAGTGCTGGTCGTGTGATATTTAGTGACTGTGTTGTTAGCATCATTTGTCATTAGAGGACACTTTATCTTCTTTACAATTTGTGTAATCGATGTGTGATAATTTGTGTAATCGATGTGTGATACATGCAGTTAGTGTAACTTTGAGACTGATTGTTGCCATGAGCATTAATTTAGTCATGATACTTTCTGACAATATAGCACCCTCCCACTGGAATTAAATTCAGGATCTTTGTACTGAGCTGAATACCCTGACCTTTAAAAAAAATTGCTATGATAACTGATCAAGGCTCAAATTTGGATTTCTCCTGCCTCAGCCTCTCAGATGCTAGGATTACCTGTGTGTATCACCAGGCCCAGCAATCATTAAGTTTTAGTTACTGCCCCGTTTGATACTGAATCTTTATAATGCTGCTAAGATAGATTAGTTTGCTTGTTTGATAGTACTGGTATTGAATCCAAGGTTAGTATATGTAGGAAGCACTCTAGCATTGAACTGTTGAGCCACACCCCAAACTAAGAATAGATTCTTCAGGCTATCTGTGAAGTATACATCTTGTAAATAGTGTGGGATACCTGTAGCCACCTATATCTGGCAGAAATAAAATCTCATGTAGGAGTAGTACTAGCTTTGTAAAGGAAGTCTTCTACAAGTATGGTGCCAGGGCCAGCCTGGGCAGTGTAGTAAGATCTGATTTTAAAAAGTTAAAGGGGCTTAGGGATATCACTCAGTGGTACAGCACCTGCCTGGCAAGTGCGAGGTCTTGAGTTTGAGTACTGATTTCCCCCTGCCCCCGCCAAAGTGGTGAAAGGGACCTACATACCCAGAAATCAGTATATAATTACAGATTTTATGCATTTGCATTAGTCAGTGGTGAGTGCAGCCCCCACCCCGCCCACATTTCCTTTGGTCATTAGTAGTTGTTCCTCTTAAGAAATGTGCCTTTTGTTTTGTGCTGCTGGCTATAGTATAAAGAACAAAATTTAAGTACCTAGGTGTGGTTACACATGCTTGTAATCCTGGCACAATGGAAGGCTGAGGCAGGAGAATCCTGAGTTTTTTATTTGTTTGTTTTGTTTAATTTAGAGGATCTTGAAAAGATTATATGCATGTGTTTTACAGTATGACTTCATCTTTGATGGTTATATAATGTGAATCAACTAACCAAACTGACACATCTTTTACAACTGCAAAATATCTATTAGTTATAAAGTTTATCAGTCATAAAATTCACTTAAGGTCCTACATAGGATTCAAGGCACGAGCCTTGCATTCTGTAACTAAGTTCTGAAGGGAGTACTACCTGCTTGGTTAGGAATTGAGTGATGGTGACAGCGCCATCATTTATTATGTCTTACTTAAGAACATGGTCCCTGGAGCGGCTGTGTTTAGCTCTCTAAGTGCAACTTTTAGTAGTGTTTTAATGTGAAGCAGTCATGTAAATTTGGCCTTCGCGTGTGTGTTTCTATAGTAAAACCCTATGCTCAGGAGGAAAATGAGCTCTCAGTGGGTAAACTGTGGACTGTGCTAGATAAAGATGAATGAACACAAAGACCCACTGACACCCAGATTATAGACAATAACGAGCACTGCTTCAGAAGGTCGCACACAGCATGTCATTTAAAGTTAGCATGGCAGAATGGCAGGATTTGATCCTTGTCAGATTTTTGTGATTTAATGCAAAGACAGTAAGGAGGCCTCACGGTGAAAAGTGGCCTAGGTTTCACAGACTTTCCAAATGTCATGCCAGGTTGCTTAGCTCCTTTCAACATCATGCTTGTGATTGTGCTGATTGTGTAATGAAGTGACTATATGAATGGAAAGAAAAATACTTTTTAATTCATTGGTACTTTTAGCAAACTTTTGTTTGGTTCACTACAATCTCATGTATTTCAAAAATAGTGACTACACATGCTGAGTGTTGTGGCATATGTGTATAATCCCATCTACAGAGGAGGCTGAGGCAGGAGGGTCATAAGTTCAAGGCCAGCCCAGCCAATTTAGCAAAACCCTGCCCCTCTATCTCCCAAGATTATGGATATACTGATGTCATGTTTCCAGATGTGTGTTTGTTTTTTCAGTATAAACATATCAACACCTTTCTTCCTGTGACTGGGCTTATGTTATAAATACTTCCTGTAAAAATCTATCAATAGACTGTCATCATTCCCTCACAGTACTTATTACTGATTTTTTTGATAGATATTTCCCTTTTACCTCTAGGATGATAAATTTCACAGTGATCACTAGTGGTTTCTGTTCTCTTGAGTATTCTTTTATATGGAATGCTGTTTAGCATAACTAGACAACCAACATGTAATTATTAATGAATACTGTTTAATGAGCTAGGCACTCACTGATTGTTTCAGATCAGTGAGATCCAATTCTCACTGACAGAAACAATCACATTCATATGACCCTACTCTAATGGGTTGTATATTTTATAAAGAATCAGATACATGAACTGCTGTTGCAATAAAGACATTAGAAGAAGTCAATGTGATAGAGAAATGTATTTGTTAATGAGCAGGGTCTCACTGTGTAGCTGGCCTTGAACTTAAGGCAGTCTTCCTGCCTCAGCTTCCCAAATGCTGGGATTACAGGTGTGCGCTCACCACACCTGGCTTGGACTTTACTAATTTAGATTGGTAATTGAGTAAAATCTTGTCTGATTTTAATAGTTAAGCTGAATGATGACCAGGAAACAGAGAAGTATATTTCAGCTGGAGGAAACATCTAGTACCAGATCACAAGGCAAGGATTTGATCGTTTCTGCTGCTTTTTAAATATAATACATAGGGCCTAAGATAGTGAGTGGGACAGCACTCAGCTGGCAAGTGCGAAGCTCTGGGTTTGATTTCCAGTACCAAAGGGGGAAAATAATACTTAGAACTCATTGTATGATTCTCTTGGCAGTTCAAGAATTATCCCAATTAAATGGCACTGACCTGGAGCTTCACTGTCCCATATAGCAGCTATGTAACTGTGTACATCTGTTAGGCTTACATTAAAATTCTGCTCATCAGTTTCCTGAGCCGTGTTTCCAGTGGCTCCTGTGTTACTGGACAGCATGCAGTCCTCAGTGCTGCAGAGAGCTCTTTCAGTGACTGTAGCTCTGGAAAGTCAGTAGAATATAAACTCAAACTGTATTTTGCTCGTAATGTTTGACACATACAAGTGGAATAAGTATTTGTTACCTGATGAGGTAAATACATAGCTGAATGGATCACCTGGGTTCTGGGACAGGGAACAACAAAATGTGTTTATACTGAGATGAGAAGGACCTTGGTACGTTTGAGAAACTGAAACAAGACTTAGGAGAACAAAGAGAAGACAGTTGAAAATCAACATGGAGAAATTGGCAGCTTGACCCCCATTGGCAAAGTGAAACTCTGAATTTTGTTGTAAGTGCATTAGGAAGTACAAAGACTTTTGCTGTACCACAGAGGTGATCTGGTCTGGCTGCTACTTTTATCAGACTGTTCTTTTATTTTACTACTTGATGAGAATTTTAATAAAGTGGTAAGAATGGCAGATGATTAAATTTGATTTTTGAAGTAACTGTCTATAGGAAATCCAGATTATTAATAAATTTCATTTTTAATGTTAGACCTGTATCCTTGTTTTATATCTGTTTTAATGATTATGAACTTAACATGCAATAATTTATTTTTGTTTTCCAGTGAAGGTGGTGTTTTTAAGGCTCATCTCACTTTCCCAAAAGATTATCCCCTCCGGCCTCCTAAAATGAAGTTCATTACAGAAATCTGGCACCCCAATGGTAAGTTTATTGAGTTTTACTTCTATACTTGCAAATATGAAGGTCTGTCATTAAAGATTTTAAGGTCAGCTGGGTGTGGTGGTGCACACCTGTAATCTCAGCACTTGAGAGGCTGAGGCAGGTGGATCACTGTGTGTTTGAGACCAGCCTGAGCTACATAGTGAGTTCAAGGCCAGCCTGACCACATAATAAGACCCTATTTCAAAAAGATTTCAAGGTTAGTAAGAAAGATGGATTTCTCAGTGAAATTGCTTTGAAATTCTCACACTCAGTTCATTGTGCATACCATGCACAGAGCTTTGTATTAGATTCCGTGTACAGAAGGACTGATGGATCCTACAGGAAAGGTTACTTAATTTCTATTGAGAATCATGAACAGGTAGAGTTACCAAGTTTTCGTTAATAGGGCTCAGATAATTAAGGGGGTGCCGTTAGAAAAGTATCTAGAAATCATTAAATCTGAGGTTAAACCATGCTTGAGACCATGAAGATCTCCTAACTTTTATCTGTTTTCTTAATTGTAGAAAAGTACTATTCTGGCTGCATGAGAAAATGCAGGCCTTAATCCTAATACTTGGGAGGCTGAGGTGGGGGATCACAAGTTCACACCCCGCTTGGGTACTAGGCCAGACCCTGTCTCAAAAAAGCAGGGTGTGTGTGAGGATGTGGCTCAGTGCTAGAGCCTTATGTAGCTTGCACCTTCACTGCAGTACTGCTAGTATGCAGAACTACCCTACCTCCCTCGCAGGTGGCTCATACAATCAAGCAAAATAACACTGTAGTTTGTAAGATTAGAAAGAATCCAGTATTGCTGTGCACCAAGTGATGACACTGAGCTGTTTGGCTGTGGTGGTGGTGGTTGTTGTTGAGACAGGGTCTCACTATGCAGTTCAGGCTGGTCTTGAGCTCACTTTGAAGCCCAGAATGGTCTCAGACTTTAAACAATCCTCTTGTGTCAGTCTCCTGAGTGCTGGGATTACAGGCATGTGCCACATGCCCAAGATGACCTGTGTAAAAATCTGCTTTTTGAGCCAGAGGTTGGGCCAGATAAACTGTTTATACAGTTTACCTCAACTTTTGGTTTTGACTTGTGTGATGGGGCTTGCAATGGTTTCTTTTCTAATTATTTTTACTGTGTGATCAGAGTTGTCTTCCTACTTCTGTGCCAATTTGTACTTTGCTTCTCATCCTTAAGACTCTTTTGGTTGCAAGGAATAGAAATGCATAGTTTCAGCAAAAAATCAGAGAGGAGCTGGTGGCACATGCCCATAATCCTGGCACATGGGAGCCCGAGGGGACGAGACCACCCTGGGCTACAGTGAGTCGAGCTCCGAGCTCCTCCTGCATCTGAGAGGAATGCTTGAATGAATAACAGTTTACCAACAGTGTGTGGAACACCAAGGCTTGAAAAAAAATTGGGTATCAAAAGAGGCTGAAACTGAAGTAGAAAACTATTGGCCACCAAAGGGAGTATGCTACATTTCATTCTTATGAGACAGCACTGATCATAAAAGACACTGTTACTTTTCTTTTTTGTCTTTTTTCTCGGTACCAGGGATCGAACTCATGACCACACACTTGCAAGGCAGATGTTTATGCTGCCAAGCTAAATCCCAGCCCCACTGTTACTTTTCATATCTGTAAGGAAACAGTGTCTCTTAACAATGTAGTTGTGAAGGAAGGTATTAATGATATTTGTGTCTGATCCGTGGATACATGAATTGGTGACATGTCCTTCTCATTGCTTTGACATTTCTTACATGTTTTTCTAGGCTTTCAGCAGTTTTCCTGCCTTTATTTGAATTACTTGACATGTGATAAGTAATCTTTTTGCACCTATTTCAGAAGGAAATGTGAAAAGTTTCTCAATTGTGGATTCACTGTGAATGAGCTGTGTGGCTCCGGCCAGTAAAGGTGGACCCCTCAGAGCTTTCATTGATAGCAAACGTCCCATGCTGGCACACATGTCACCGTTCACTGCCTCTGTTTTAGGCAAAGCCTTTGTGAGCCTTAATTTTTCTCTCTCTTCTCTCTTTCTCTTTGTCTTTCTTCTTCTATCTCTGTCTATCTGTCTCTCTTTTTCTCTGGCAGGCTCTCTGTAGTGCAGGCTGCCCTTAACCTTGCTTATGTTGACCAGAGTGGTCTTGAACTCATGTTGATCCTCTTGCCTCAGCCTCCTGAGTGCTGGGATCATAGATGTATGCATCACTTTTACTAGCTTCTATCTGTAAAAATTAAATGGGAGCGTATCTATAAGCAAATACATGAGACTTTCCATAAGAAAGGTAGATAGCAGTACTCTCAGTAGTTTTTTTTAATCTAACTTTTATTATTATTATTATTTTTATATTATATTATTTTTGAGGCAGGTTCTCACTATGCAGTTCAGACTGGCCTTGAGCTCACTTTGTAGCCCAGGCTGGTTTTGAACTCACAATGATCCTCCTGCCTCAGCCTCCTGAGTGCTGGGATTACAGGAGTGTGCCACCACGCCCTGCTGCTTAGTAGTTTAAGAAGACAATTGATGAAAGAATTTTTAAGTTGAAGAGACTTGCCATCTTACAGGTCATTACATAAAGATGATCAAGATTTTATTGGAAGGAGAGGGTACTAGAACAGTAACTAGAAAAAGAGTCAGCTGTAGAGAGGGAACGGCCGCACCAAAACAGAGAAGGGAGGGAAACTGAGAGGAAGCATCTGAATGTCTGCAGAGCACTGGAAGGATAGTGGTGTCGCTCAGCTGTGACCTGTCCCTTTACAGATGTTCTGGGCTATATGTGGGGAGAGGATGGGGATGTGACAGTGATGTGTAGGTGTCTGTGTGCTGTAGCACAGAAGGAGGGAGCCCAGGGTTCTGAGGGAATCTGGCCATGAATGGAAGGTGGAATGATGAATATGCTTGGTTTGGACTCTGTTGTGTTGGCCATGGAGACTTTAAATGGATGAATTTTAAGTTGTATTGTAGGTTTGCCTTGATTATATTTTCTTTCCAGAAAGACAGACTAGTGAAGTAGAAAGAGAAGCCAAACAGATAGCAAGGAGATACAGATTCATGCTTGGTATAAAAAACAACAAAACCACCAGATGAGGGGGCATACACCTGTAATACCAGCACTCATAGGCCAAGGCAATGGCACACACCATAATACCAGCACTCATAGGCCAAGGCGAGAGTCTCTTCCATGAGCTTGAGGCTTGCCTGTGCTACATTGTAAGTCTAAGGCCAGGCTGAACTACACAGTCTGAAACCACCTCCCTGAAGAACAACAAACGAGATGAAGCAAAACAAAACAATAGAAACTTAAACAAAGAATAGTGTTAGGAAGGGCAATGCAGTTACTCTCACTGGTTGACTACTCACTGTGGGTGGTAATGAAGAGCAGTTTAGAACTGACTGGCCACTTGAGAAAATAACTGTAAACTGGGCCTGGTGACACACACTTGTTTGAGGGACAAAGCTCAGAAGGTTAAGATTGAAAGTTTGTGACCAGCCTGGGAAACTTACTGAGATCTTACCTCAGAAAACACTGGAGAGGTAGTTCAGCATTCCCCGAGTTCAAGTTACAGTACGAAAACAAAAAACAAAATAAAACAAAACAAAACAAAAGCTTAAATATTGAAGACACCAGCCTTGTCTGTCATATTTATTGCTGTACTCCCATGTCAGGTATAGTTATGGTATGCAGTAGGCAATGATATCTATCTCTATCTATCTCTATCTATCTATCTATCTATCTATCTATCTATCTATCTATCCACATCCCTTGATTGTAGCTACCCATATTATGAGATGAGCTTTAAAATTATACTTATTCAAAATTTTGTTAGACTCCATATAAAGTAAGTTAGGAATTAAATGTACATAAATATGTTTGAACATTTTTTCACCCAGAAATTTTATTTAATCTTACATATTTTTAAAAGTTTCGGGCTGGGGATTTATTTAGCTCAGTGGCATAAGCACCTGCCTTGTAAGCAGGCAGTCATGAGTTCAATCCCCGGTACCGATAAAAAGGAAAAAAACAAAACAAAACAAAAAGTTTCCTCAAAGTATGCTTTTTAAAAGAGAATTTTTACTTTAAAAGATTAATTTCACTAATAGGGAGTATTTATGATACTGGATTGGTGGATTGATCAACCTTTTGAATCAATATTTTACTTTTTGTGGAACCACTTCATAGTTAAGACCCAGTTATGTGAACATATGTCTCCTAAACAGGATATTTTCCTGTTATTACTCAAGTGATTATTACCTGTGGCTTGAATTTTAAAATGGATTTTATAGAGGCCACATGAATGTCGTCAAGTATGTTGATGAATTTCACAGGCAATATGACATACTCCTCTTGTGAATTTAAAGACTTTTCCTTAAACTATAATTCTGTTTCTATTTGATTTTAAAAGTACATCACTATATTAATTCCACATCCTATTTACTGCGTGTAAGTGCTCAGCACTAGCTGTATGCTAGAGATCTTCAAAGTCAGACCGAATTGAAATAGTTTTTGTTCCTGAAGTTTTCAGATGGGCTCTATGCATTTGATAAAATCTATAGCTTTACTAAGAAGTTGATGGATTGCATTTTGGAAATCATCTATACGTCAGTAGTGTTTTATGCAATCATTGTGTGGAGCAGAATTACACTTAAACTACTAGATATGTATAGTCAGATTAGTGATACTAAGCAAAATTCTTCTCTAATTTTACAGTTGACAAAAATGGTGATGTTTGCATTTCTATTCTTCATGAACCTGGTGAGGATAAATATGGTTATGAAAAACCAGAAGAACGCTGGCTCCCTATCCATACTGTGGAAACCATCATGATTAGTGTCATTTCCATGCTGGCCGATCCCAATGGAGATTCACCTGCTAATGTGGATGCTGCGGTAAGGTCACGTGTGTGTGCCCTCACGTGCCACCCTCTTTTCCTGTTCTTCTCCCTTTAATAAAATTCAGCTTGATAGAACAGGGCATGGTTGCCCATGCCTATAATCCCAGCTTTTGGAAGGCTGAGGCAGGATCACCACTAGTCTGAGGCCGATCTGGACTCTGTCTCAAAAAAAATAAAAAAAGAAACCAAAATACAAAAGAACAAAAACCAAAACACCTTATGAAATCAACCCAAAACTTCCATGTGTGACATGTAATGTTGAAATACGCATACATTGTAGAAGGGCCAATTAACATGCACCTCACCGTTTTTTTTTTTGGTGGTGAGGTAACTTGAAATCTTCTTTGGGCAGTTGTTAAGAGCACAGTACCAGGCAGGTGTGGTGGTGCACACCTGTAATCCTAGCATTCAGGAGGAGACTGATGCAGGAGGATCACTGTGAGTGTGAGGCCACCCTGAATTGCATAGTGAAATCCTGTCTTAAAAGACAACAAAAAACCCCACAATACAATATTGGGTGTTTGGTTTTAGTTTTTTGAGACAGGGTCTTGCTATGCAGTTTAGGTTGGCCTTTATAGGTCACAGTGTTCTCTTGCCTCTCCGCTTTCTGAGTGCTGGGATCATAGGTATGTACTACTGTGCCTGGCTCCACAATACATTATCATCAATACAAAATATATAATAGATTTTATTGTAGCTATAATAATGTGATAGGGAATATACAGTGTATCAAAAGAAGTAAATTATGACATCATGAATTTTACTTGTAAATGTTGGGTGGGGATGTGTGGAGTAAAAATGCAAGTTTTTATGCCATAAAGGTACATTTCTGGGGCTGGGGATTTAGCTCTGTGGCATAAGCACCTGTCTGGCAAGCATGAGGTTGTGAATTCGATCCCTGGAATAAAAAAAAAAAAAAATTAAAAAAAGATTAATTAAGGCCAGGTGTGTTGATGCAAGACTGTAATCCCAGACCTTGGGAGGCTGAGGCAGGAGGGATGCTGTGAGTTTGAGGCTAGCCTAGGCTACAAAGTGAGTCCAAAGCTAATGTGAATTACATAGTGAGACCTTGTCTTCCCCCTACTCAAAAATGTATGTTGTTATCAGCTTATGATAGTCTGTTAATAAGTATAAAATGTTTTTGTAAGCTTCATGGAAAATACAAAGCAAAAATTACAGCAGGTGCAGAAAGAATTAAAAAAAAAAAAATACACCAGTTGGAGAAAATCACTTAATCACGAAGACAGGAAAAGAGAAAATTAATGTATGAAAGAGCCAAAAAACAGCAAACAGAACAGCAGTAAGAAGCCCATTCTCCTAGTAGGGTCAAGGGTGGAGCCGGAGAGCTGTGTTCTGGATCCTCCATTCTTGGCTCCACGTAAGGCTGATTGTGCTAGCCTGCTGCCAGCCGTCTCCCAAGTTTGATTCCCCTCTACTGCTCTTCCGGATCGGCTCCTCTGACCCTGGACCCCAGTGCTGCTCCCTCGGTTTGTTTCTGTTTTTGGATTTGCTTTCTGGTTTTGCTAGGTACTTCGTCCTAGATTAATGTCTTAGGCTCTGCAGGAATTGAGTTCAGGTTCCTTTTATGATTCATGAATCATTCTTTATGCTTCATTGATTCTTTTGTATAGTGTTGTGGAAAGTTTTTTACGCAGAGTATATTTTTTACCTTTTGTCATTGCTGATGAGAGGATAGATGCTGTGCTGATTTTTACCATTTTTAGGTAACCTGTTTTTGTTATTCTTCGTTGTTCCTTTAGGCTTTTTCTTTATTAGTCTTCTAGATTCTCAGAACAGAATAGTATGAAGTCTTTAATTTACTTGGTGTCTGAGTTTAAAGATTTTTTAAAAATTACTTTGAGAATTTCTCCATGTTTAATATTGTCTTCTTAAAAAGTTACCCAGATTGAGCCCTCTTGTTGCATCATCATTATAATTTAATATTGAATATATAATTGAATTCAGAAGTTTGCACACCCAATTACCCACTGCCACTGAGCCACATCCCCAGTTCAAAAGTCTGGATTGGAATTTTCATTTTGGCAGTATCGTATTATTTTAGTTAGCTCTCCATCAAGTGCCATTAGCCGGGGACCGAGGTTTTGACAAGTGACCCCTTGGAGAGGACACTTACGATCCAGATCATAACTTAGGTGCTTATGTAATTAATGGTTTTTGATACAGGGTCTTCTATGCAGTCCATGTCGGCTTTGAAGTCACACTGATCGTGCTGCCTCAGCTTCCTATGAGCTGCGGTTACAGGTGTGCAGCACCACACCTGGATGATGTATTTAATTTAATTTTTTTTATATCGGGGATCAAACTTATAACCCATCAAGGTACCTGCCAGGCAGGTACTTATAACACTGAGCTAAATTCCCAGCCATGTATTTAATTTTAAATAGCTTATTTTGAATATTTTAGATTTTAAAACATTTTCAGAATTTTCAAAACTCTGCAGTCTTCTATACAACTGACCACTCATGATTAAAGAATGAATGTCTTGGGAGCAGATTGGAACTTCTTGTTTGGGCGATAGGGGATAAGGTTGTGTGGATGGGAAGCCAGATAATAAACTGAAAGCACGGGCCGGGGGAGAGAGCGTTGTTGGTTTGTGATTCATTCACGGGGTATGCTAGGGCTTGACAAAGTGCGGCCTTGGCAGGGGACCACACCGCCCACCCTTTGTATTTTTTATTTTGAGACAGGCTTTCACTAGGCAGCTATAGCCCAAGCTGGGTTTTGAAGGTGGAATCCTCTAACATGGTTCTTGTCTTGTGCTGGGATTGAGTCTGGAGACTGGCCGAGGCTGTCAGTTAGATGCTGACATAAAAGAGTGGTTTTACTTTGGGTACTGATGTATTACCTAGCATCTTTAACTGTAGTATTAAGATATTTGTGTACAGTTCCCATACATAATTATTTCAGGATTTGTAGGTTTGAGGGGGAAATCCTGAGTACACAGACTTCAGTCTTTATTTTTAGCTCTCCTTGGGCTTTTCTCAACTTGAACCATGTCCAAATGTTAGTTTTTTAGAGTTTTAATAGACCCCTTTCTTCTTCTGTTCTCATTACATTGAGACTTCTGTTGGCTGCTACTTTTTCTTCTGTACTACGAGTATTAACATTCATACATTTGATTTTTGTCCTCTAAAACCTTTCATTACTGGATTGTTTCCTTGTTGTTTTCTTTCATATTGAGGGTTTATACTATGAAAAGAAATTCCAGTGTGATGATTTTAATAGGCTCTCCGGTAAGCAAAGATAAACATACATCCCTTTGCTATATTAAATTCATGGTTCCTGCATTTAAGATGGGCTTAATCATATCTTCCTGGTAACCACACTACACGGGCCAGTGAACTTGGTGTCCAGCCTTTTCTTTGGAAGCATAAATTACTGATCTACTCTCTGACTAGAAGTCACCCGCCCATCTTGTCTCATTTGCCAAGAGAATATGTCGTATGCCTCTATAAATTCCTTTCCACCCACCATCTGCCAGTGATGTCTTTCTTTGCTTCTTTGTATAGTACTATAATTGCTTCCTCTATGATCTCTCTGCTCTTTTAATTATCTATTATGGTATAATTTTTAGGTTACCATTTCTTAAGATGGTCTTTCCTTTGACCAGAATTGCCCTTTGTTTCTGTTTACTTAAAAATAAAGCCAGATTATATATAGCAAACATGTAATTAAAAAACTTTAAAAAAAAGCAGTTGTGTTAATACAAACATACACACACGGGCACACACAAAGCAGCCAGGTGTGATAGCCCATGCCTGCATTACTAATACTCTAGAAGGTAGGATCACAGTTTGAAGTCCTGCCTGGCCAACTTAATGATTTAGTGAACTCATTCTCAAAATTAAAAAAAAAAATAGTTTTAAAGGCCTTAGGTTCAGTCACCAGTTGGAGGAAGGGAGGGTATTTGCAGAAATTGTGAATACCCACAAGTGCTTCAGACATCTGGAAGATGAGGACATTATTGTGAGTAACCACAGTGCTGTTAGGCACAACTTGCTGTAATTCCTAAAGCTATACAAATACCCAGCTTGGGCAGAGGAGGAGCTGGGCCGATCTGGGGTGCCTGCATCGGCACCTCCGTGTGTCTGAAGGACTGTGGATATCTCTGCAAGCAGGGAGGGATCGCAGGTTCCTGAGGCACCACGGCCTGTGGTGAGTGCTCAGCACGCTCTGCCCAAATCTCAGCCTGTTCCGGACCCTCCAGGCTTCCGGGTGCAGTGAAGTGGAGTAGTGGGTTAGAGGCCTCTACATCCGCCTCCCCATCCCGGCTGCACTTGGAGATCTGCTGAGCTTCCAACGGGTGGGTGGGCCCACACTATCCCCGGAGCCCAGCCTGTTTTGCTGCTGCGCCTAGCCATCGGTGTGCAGAGGAGGAGCTGGGCAGATCTGGGGTGCCTGCATCAGCCTCTCCGTGTGTCTGGAGGACTGTGGATATCTCTGCAAGCAGGGAGGGATCACAGATTCCTGAGGCACCGTGGCCTGTGGTGAGTACCCTAACCCAGCTGCGATTGAAGAGCTGTGGAGCTTCCAAGGGGCAGGTGGGCGCACAGTGTCCCCGAGGCCCAGCTTGTCTGGAACTGCGGAGTTCTGAGCAGGCAGAGGAGGGCCACTGGTTCTGCAGGCCCAATGGCTTGGGGTAGTGTGGTGCCAGAGTCTCAGTAGCTGCAAACATAGAAGGGGATTTTCAACAGATCCTGAGGAAGCTTTCAAATAACACTTGAAACACAGAAATATAGGAAAATGACAAAACGAAAGACCAAATTATAACCTCAAACCTCCAGCCCATCTCAAGAAACCCTAGGAGCAATGTATGTAGAAGAAAATATATCCCATCCACCTCAAATATCACACAATAGCTACTGAAATTGACAAGCAACTCCAGGAAGCTTTAAAGAAATTCAAACTCGAAATAATCTCCCAGATAAAAGAAGAAATGATAAAAGAAATGAATATATCTAAAGAAAACACAGATAAAAAATTGGAGGAACTAAACAAAAAGATAGAATCCCTAGACGAGCAATATAAGAAACAAACAGAATACATAATGCAGATGCACAGAGATATACAGGAAATAAAAAACTCCACTGAAAGTTGTAAAAACCGCCTTAATGAAAGTGAAGATAGAATTTCAGACCTTGAAGACAGGATTGCAGCTAGTGAACAGGAAAGGAAAGATCTTTTAAAAATAACAAGGAATCAGGAAACAACAATTCAACAACTGCAAGACGATGCAAAGAAGAATAACAAGAATGATAGGGATTAATGAAAAAGGAGACAACATAAAGGATGTCAAGAGGATATTTACAGAAGTAATAGCTGAAAATTTCCCAAGCATGAGATCAGAAACTGACATCAGGATCAGTGAAGCATACAGAACTCCAAATAGTCATAACCAAAATAAAACTACACCCAGACATATAGTAATCACCATCCCAGAAATCCAACACAAGAATAGATTATTAAAAGCTGTCAGAGAGAAAAGACAGATCACTTATAAAGGAAAACCTATCAGAATCACAGCAGACTTCTCATCACATACAAATATCCAGCTTGCATTCATACTTCTCCATTTCTCTCTCAAAACGTTAAGGCTTTTATTCCCAGTATGGTGCTAACCCAAAGAGTTTCTGATGTGTCCTTGGATGTGACTCTTCACTCTCTCTCTCAGCATTTTCTCTGATCAGACAGTGTAAATAGTAGTTTGGTTTTGGTGCGCCTTGTTTTGAGGGCACAAACTTTGAATCTCTTCCTTTGCTGGGGCAAGGACTCAGTCTTTGGTGTACCTAAATTGCTAATATTCACAGAAACCAAACGCAAGTTGGCATTTTTTGTGAGCTTTTTGTGCTCTCCGCACCCAGGGTAAGATTGATTTTTGTCCTGTTGAGGCTGCTAGCGCTCGTCTGCATGTCTTACAGAGATATTGGCATATCACATATCTGCCCTTCCTCTCACGCTGCTGGTGCTCCCTAACATCTCAGTGTGATGTGTCTCTTTCTTCTGTCTTAGGTTGGATATGCTTTCATGCTGACTTTGCCTTCTGATGGTTCCCAGATGGGAGTTGGTCATCCTTTAGATAATTGGAATGCTTTATTTGTAAATTGTGGCTCTCTTTTGTGTAATACTACATTGTAACTTCTGTGGTCCTTTTCATTTGAAAAGAACTTTCCCACAGAGGTAATTTATGTAGTAGAGATTTTTGCTTGTGTCCCAGCAGAGTGCCTTGCACTTTTTGATGGGGTGTGGTGACTCATAGCCAGAATCCCAGCACCCAGGGATGCAGAGCAGGAGGATCTCTCTGAGTTTGAGACCCATCTGAGCTACGTAGTGAATTCCAGCCTTCCTGAACTCTACATAGTGAGACCCTGTCTCAGAAAACACAAATATTACCCGTCACTTTCCAGCCTTAGCAGCTTGCCATTTAAAGCGCACAAACCACTAAAGGAATGTATTTGAAATTAAGTATTTGGGATTATAAGAAGGTATTTGCATGAAATCATTTGATTCTACCTTTGCATTTACAGAAAGAATGGAGGGAAGACAGAAATGGAGAATTTAAAAGGAAAGTCGCCCGCTGTGTAAGAAAAAGCCAAGAAACTGCTTTTGAGTGACATTTATTCAGCAGCTAGAAATTTCACTTATTTCAGGGTAAGCTCATTTTGAATATCATAACCATTTTCTTTGTCTTTTTGTAGATGCTATTAATTTTTTAAAATCATGTTTTTGAATTGTTGCTTTCTTTGGTTTCTCTTTTTAAGTAGTATTATAGAGCCAGTTTTCTATGGTGACAGATTCTTTGCGCTGTAAAATTTCTGATGATGAAGTTCTTATTTCAGTTTTATTTACCTCACTTTGTGTAAGCTTGTGTCCTGCCTACTGCTGGATACTGATGTTTCTTGCATCTCCTTGTACTGAATAATATTAGGTATGGTAAACGCTAATGTAAATTTTGGCTTTGAAGACATTTTTTTGAAGAAAATTCCATTTCGTATCACACCCCAAGACCATTAAACACTCCCTTTTTTCTCTGCCCCCTTTAGTTAATCTTTCAGTTTCTTGGTCTTTTTATTGACAGGGCAGGTAAAGGAAAGTTTCTCAGCCAGGCATGGGGCACACCCGCAGTTGGGAGACTCAGGCAGGAGGACCATGTGAGGTCTAGGCCTGTGCTGCGTAGCGAGTCCAGGATCCACTTGAGTTACACAGGGAAACCCTGTCTCAGAAAGGAGTTTCTCTGTTATCGTATAATTTAAGTCTAGCGGGAAAGCGCCCATCTAACTTAGAAGAGGACATACTGTACATGAATTGACTGTGTGTTACATAGTCTTTTTAAAATTTGAATATTGAGTTACATAGTCTTTTTAAAATTTGAATATTGAGTTCTGAAACTATAAAACTTACTATCTAAAGAATCTAAATATTTATCACCACTACACCCATTCATCTCTTCTCATTCCTTTCTCACATTCTGAGTTCCTACCATTTATAATTTCTTCCAAGTTTGTATTCCTGTTTGTCTTTTGGTACTGGGACTCAAACTCAGGACCTTGCACTTGTTAGGCAGGTGCTTATGCCATTGAGCTATATCCCTGGCCAAGTTTGTATTCCTAAGCAATGTATTATATATTTTTCAAGTTATATATGTGGAATTACAATAAATATGTTCTTTCATAATTTATTGATTATATCCTTCACATTAACCTGTATTGTTTATGGTTTATCTTTTCACTGTTGTGTAGTATTTCATTAGGAACACTACCTCTCTCATTTATTCTAATTGCTATTTTTTCAGATTTGGGATGAGGGAATTGTTTCTGCTCTGCTGTAATTTTTTTTTCCTTTTTTTTTTTTTTCTTGTAGGACTGAGGACTGAACTCAGGGCCTTCATACTCAGGATCCTTCCCCCTCTTTAAATTTTTCATTTTGAGACAAGTTTTAAGTCACTAAATTGCCCTGGTTACACTAGAATTTATAATTCTTTTGCCTCAGCCTCCCGAGGGTTGCAGGTGTGTTTCGGAACACCTGGTTTTGTTTTTACTGTAGTAGAATGTGACTGTCCTCGTTTCCTGGAGTTTCTGGGATGGCGAACCTTCTAGAACTTTTAGTAATAAACATCTGGCTGCAGTGTGGGTGCCATAGGTTTGCCAGTACTGCTTTAGAGTATATACCTAAAGGCGAGTTGTCATTCTGCGCATCATTTTGACTAAATAAGGCCAACGTCTTTTTTAAAGTTTTGCCTCTAAGCTGGGCTCAGGAGGCTGAGACTGGAGGGTCAGCTCAAGTTCGATGCCAGCCCGGGCTATCTAGTGAGATCCTGTCTTAAAGCAAAACCTAAAATACTCATACACTTTAGAAGTAATAAGAAAACTACTTAGCGAGACCCTGTCTCAAAAAACAAAACAAAATATTTTGCTTCTGTGTAGACCCCAGTGATGCCGCTCGCTCCCTGTCCTCCCCAATTTGATGTCGTCACACATCTACGATGTTACAAATCTGCTTTTGAGAAGCAGTCGGTCATTGTGAACCGGTGTGCAGCACCCAGGTCACCGGCGAAGCTGCACATCGTTTGCTGGGTTCGGCCACTGCGGTTTGCTTTGTGAAGCCTGTTCAGCTTTCTGGGCTGTCTCTGTGAGAGTGTCGGTTTGTGTGCTTGTCGTTTTACTCTGGTATATTTAGATAAACAGAAGTTCTTAATTTTAGTGCAGTTGAATTTGTTAGTCCTTTCCTTTGTGAATTTTACTTTTTCATGTTTTAATTAAAAGTCTGTCTCTTTCTTGCCACCAAAAAGCTGCTGTTTTATATTACTTTCTGAAATATGTGTAATTTTGCCTTCCCTGTCTCTGTTAACCTACTGCAGATGATTTTTGTGCATGATATGGTAAAGGTTGGATTTCACCCCTCTGTCTCTCAAAGTAACTACACCATTTATTGACAAATCTTCCCTTTCATCATTGAAGCACCATGCCAGCCAGTGATATGAAATCACCTCTGTCTTCTGCTCCTTCCCTCTGTGTCCAGGGCCTCCTGTTGCTCAGGCTGACCTTGGCCGCACCGTGTTGTCCATGCTAGCTGTGAACTGTCCGTGAGTCTCCTGCCTCGGGTTCCCTAGTGGTGGAAGTGCAAGAGCATGCCACCACGCCTGCCTAAACCTTTCTCTTTCCAAGGCTGGGATCATCTTGTCCCTGAACTAGCATCACACTGTCTGAATGTTTATCTGTTGTTTTTATGATCAAATGTATCACATGCAAAGGTATAAGCTGGAAGTGAGTTTATAGTCTTATAATACAGCACTTAATCCTGCTGACACTTTATTTCTATTTTCTGTAGAGACTCTTGTACTTTTGGGTCCCCTTAAATGTTGAAAGTATATTTTTTTCCTGCTACCATTCAAATGAGTCCTGTTTTCCTATGTTATTTATATCTCATTTATTTTTATTCCATGTTTGCTAATAATTTTGTGTCTAATACTTCAGTCACAATGAGTCTGTAGTTCTTTTTTTTTTAAGTCTGGTTCTTGTATCTGGTCTTTTCTTTTGACTTTTGTCTGCCATATCATTAGATCGAGTTCTTGCTAACAGATTCTTGCTTTAGTCTCCTTGTACTGAATGTCTTTGATGAATGTCTGCATTTCCATCCAGGATACTCATCTCATATACAATGTCCTTGTCAGTCTTCACAAGTGGAACTCATTGCATGGCTCTTTATAGGTGTTGCATTCTTTTAAAGCCAAGAAAACTCTCAGGGTATATTTCCCACACTAATAAGTGTTTTCACATTAGAAAGGAAGGACCTTGCTGACAATCAGGAAGAAGAGTAAAATAACACTATAGAAGCCTACATCTATCCAAAACTTTCCAGCAGTACATTATGAGTTTTGAGAATAACCAAGAGTTTTGGGTGCGGGGTTTAGCTCAGTGGCACAAGTGCCTGCCTGGTAAATGCAAGATTGTGAGTTTGATCCCTGGTACCAAAAAACAAAACAAAACAAAACAAAAAAAGGTGAAAGAATAACCAAGAGTTTTATTTTGTTTACCTTGATGTCACACAGAAAATGAGTCTAATAGTACTCATGAAGTGTCAGAAACACTGTATCTCGACATACGGAGGCCAAGCCCAGGGCCTTATGTGTGTTAGGCAGGTGTAGCTTCTGAGCCTCATCCCTGTTCCTTTCTGATTAACCGAGAGTTTCCCCAGGTTTCTCAGGCTCTCCTGGCACTTGTGATCTTTCTGCTTCTGGCTCCTAAAGCAGTCAGAATGATAGGCATATACCATACCTACCAGAAACTTTTACCAGATAACTTTTATAACTTTGTAAGGGGTTGTGTGTTATCTGCTTTACTAGTGGTAGAATTGTTCACGTTTAGACATAGCATATACGTACCTTTAAAATCCTACTTTGTCTGTGTAGCAAAGATGAGCCTAAAAGTAGTGTTGAGTCACCCCAGTGTCACTTTATAGAACCCAGTAATAAAGACAAGACAGTATACTGCTAACATGAGGCTAACAATAAAAACTTAGAGTAAAGAAGCAGGCCTGGGAGACAGCACAGTCACAGAGAGAGCCCACCTAACACACGCAGAGTCCCGGCTCACTCTGCCACCATGCATGAGCTCTTCATCTGCTGAGGCCTGCTCCCTTCACTTAGCTCTTGAGAGCACCTCCCACCTAAATTTGCAAATAAATGAGCAAATCTCTTTACAGATGCTTCCTAGGGAATCTGACCTGGGATACTAGCTACTATGTAGCCAGCACACTGAGATGGAAGACTGTCTGCTTTACTTAGTTGTGCTCTTGTGGGAATCCAGAGTGATTTCCACAAATATGGGAGGGGAGGTGTGGCTGCATATTCTGCTTCCTAAGTGGGGTGCTTCCTATTTCACATTTGGAATCACTGATTCTAATAGGGAATCACTTGATCAGTTTCCTACTCAGATCATCGGTTTCTACATATCCAAAAACAAGGCTTTTGAACGTTAGGCTTCCTGATCACCTGTGTTCCAAGAAGAGGAAGAAAGAAGTGAAAGCTTGGGGCTGGGGATTTAGCTCAGTGGCATAAGAGCCTGCCTTGCAAGCAGGCAGTCATGAATGAGTTCGATCCCTGGTACCGATAAAAAAGGAAAAAGACCCTCCCCCCCCAAAAAAAGTGAAAGCTCTACAAATGTGCTAAAGGGCTCACCTTTTTTTGAGGTGGGAGGTTTGAGACAGGGTCTCAGCATATCATTCAGACCAGCTTTAAACTCACTGTTCAGGCCTGGCCAGCCTCAACTTTACAGCGATCCTTATGTTTCAGCCTTCTGTGTGCTACCACACCCAGCCAATTTTTGGCTCATTAATGAAGGAGCTTCTGGAGGTCATTGCAAGGGACCAATGAAACTAACATACCACTAATAAGGTATCACAGAACCGTGAGCCTGCCTCTGTAAAAATCACTGGAAATGCCAAGTATCTTTGACAGTAAAACTGGTATTCATGGAGCCACTGCTCTTTGCCTCTGCTGTAAATACCTTAGAGGGTAGAAAGATGTCTTCAGTATGGAGTAAAAGAGCTTACTAGCCAGGAGTGTAAGACAAAAAATTAAATACATGAAGCAATCACATAACCCAGAATAAGAGTAACAATTAATTGTTATGTTTCCTGTGCTTCAGAAAGTGTATGTGTATATAACCCTTGCAAATACACCCATGTGATATGGGGCATTTTTACATACCGAAAAATACCAAAGTAACATCACTTCTAAAGAGTAGGTTTGTGTCTGAGAATTTATTTAACTCCAAATGAATCTGTTTTATTATCACCAGAGGAACTGTTGGAAGCAAATAGTCCTTAGAAGTGAGCACAGGCAAGGCATGGTGGCATAGCCTGAAATCCCAGCACTTGAGAGCCAGGAGGATCACCATGAGTTTGAGGCCAGCTTGGGCTACATAGTGAACTCAAGACCAGCCTAAACTATGCAGTGAGACCCCAGAAGTGAGCTCAGTAGGAAGAGCGCCCTGATAACTTTTATGGCCCTTTGGCATAGCTGTTCCACCTGTGTTTTGTGATCACTGGGACTCATAAGATCCTGCTCCGAATCACTCCCTTCTGTATCAGAACAGGCAGACCATGTATTTTGGGGGTATTGAGGCAAAACAAGCATGAGGTGGTTTTGTCTCAATATTCAGACAAGGTCAGAGAACTTCTTCTTCCTCAGTGTCAGGCACTGTAGACCTAACCCTGCACTGGCCAGCAGAGATACAAAACATCCATGATTTGAAGGCAGATTTATGTCGCCAGGCACTGATCTCTGGTGGCCTAGGGCTCATAGGGTTAAGATAAGCAGGCAGGAAGCAGAGGCAGCGTGGCTGGTCAGCTGGGGATTGGGGTATCCAGTGTGCATCCCAGCGGGCAGCTGTGTATCCCAATGGGTAGCCGGCTCTAGAAGACAGGAGCAAGCAGAACTGGAGCAGGAACCAAGAAGTTGAAGGATCCTGGGAGGGAGGCGGTGGGTTTTCTGTTACAACACTCATATTGTCTTTTCCTAAATGGTGTATTTACTTGTGCAACAGATGAACCGTGCCTAAAATACAATAGGCTGTAGGCATTTTTAACGACAGAACACTGTCCTGAGCTTGGGTGTCAGCTGAATTGGTTGCTAAATAAGGGATTGTACATGGTATGTACATTACAGTATTCAGAGCAAAGAAATAAAAAGGAACTCCAGCCGGGGGACTTTGCTTTAATTTCATAGCTTGCATGAGGTACCGTAATGCACGGCAGAACAAAACTACAGTACTGTACAATACACTTAGCAAAAATTATATGGACAAGGGGTTCTATAACAAAAAAAGACTGAGTCTGTATAAACAATATGTACAGAACTGTGTATATTAAAAAATAAAAAAGGACAGGTCGTAAGTCCAAACAGTGAACCTTGATTGTAACTCTGAGCAGTCGTTAAATGAGAAACATCTGTAAATTGTAAGCTGGGTAAAATGCGTACCTTCAGTCTCTAGTATTCTGGGACGCTGAAGCAGGAGGATTTCAAGTTGAGACCAACCCAGGGAACTTGGTGACACCTTGTCTCAAAATAAAAGAAAGGACTGGGGATATAGTACATTACTTAGGCCTGTATTCATTCCCCAGTGCCACACGCACAAATTTAAAAAGTGATTGATACAATGGAATATTATCCAGCTGTTCAAATACATAATACAGATTCAAATAGACAATCATATAGTTAAATGTCAGAAATACTGTCATATGGAGAACAATCCCCAAGCCAGATGTGGTGGCACATTAATTCCAGCTACCAGGAGGCCAAGACAGGAGCTTTGCAAATTTGGGGACAGCCTGGGTACATAGTAAGACCCTGTTAATGTTTTTTAAAACAGGAATAATGAAGACAGTGCTTAATTTCAGTCAGTACATAAGTGCTTCAGTTTCCACATTTATCTTCCCTGTCAAGCTTGCCTTTTCCAAACTTGAGTTCTATTCTCTGGAATACATTTTTTTTTTTTTTGTCTTTTTCCTTTTTATCGGTACCAGGGATCGAACTCACGACTGCCTGCCTGCAAGGCAGGTGCTTATGCCGCTGAGCTAAATTCCCAGCAGCCGCTAGTCATATTCTTCTCCCTTTTTTTTTCCTTTTGTCTTTTTCGTTTTTATCGGTACCAGGGATTGAACTCACGACCGCCTGCTTGCAAGGCAGGTGCTTATGCTGCTGAGCTAAATCCCCAGCCCCCTGGAATAAATTCATTGAAAAAAAAGGAAGATAGACTTTCTTTCAATATTGGATAAATTAATGCTATTTGTAGATGGATCCTTGCTATTACAAAGTTAGGTCACCTGATTTTGGCTTTTAGGCTACTCTTAGCAGTGTCAGTCCTCTGGGATAATTTTTCTTTAAAACTTGACTTGGAAACAGTATGTAAATGAATTTTTGTGGTCTGGAAAATTTTCATCTCTTATTTTACAGGGAAATGATTACGCTGAATGTCCAAACTGTACTCCCAGTTCTTTTTTAGCTGTGGAAGATTTTTGGTGAGGAACTAATTTGGGTGTAGCATGATCTCTGGGAAAATGTCAAGGAATATTATCTAAAAGTTACAACCCCAAGCTAGATGTGCATTATACATACCTACAATCTCAGCACTCTGGGAGGCTGAGGCAGGAGGATTGCAAATCTGAGTTCAGCCTAGTCAGTTTGGTGACACAGTGAGTTCATTTTCCTATCTGAAAATGAAAAAGGGCTAGGGAATGGAGTGTAGCTCAGTGAAGGTCCTGTGTTCAGCTCCCAGTACTGCCCTTCCCCACCAAGGCTGCAATTTCTATATCATCATACTTTTTCTAATAAAAAGCATTTTTAGTAAGTGACATGTAAGTGCATACATGTATTTGTATACAAACTGTAGGGACTGGTTTCTGGGAAAGATAATTTATTCATATTTGGGGCACTTCGTGCTTTGCTAGGGCCTTTTCACATTGGTTGTTACAATCATTTTCAAAGCAAATTTTACGGTAGTCATGATGGCCCACCGCAGGAAGTACTCTAATCCGCAGAAACAGGCACATGCAGGGCCACACACTGCCTCAAAACTTCCTTCCTTCCCTCCTTCCCTCCCTTCTTCCCTTCCTACCTCCCTCCCTCCCCAGCAGATGTTTGGGTGATGATGAGGTAATTAACACTGCGCTAGAGGATACACATCTTGTATGAGTTAAAGTTTGCTGGAACTCACTTAAGTTTTGCTTCTCCATCAGGAGAGTAAAATAAGTCACCTAAATTCCCAGTCAGTCATCTTCTGTTTGATTTTGCTCAAAATTGTGCTTGGCAGCAGAGGTTTCTGAGTTCCAGGAAATATGGGGTCTACAAATGTGATGGGAACAGGGACTGTGTTCCGTCCCTGTCTCCATATTCAGAATGCACCTTCATGTACTAACCACTGACAGACCAGGCATTAAGGTGGGATTGTAAAACCTGAGAGGCTTTGTGTCTATTAGCTGTACAAGCCGGTCTTGCTTTTCTGTGTGAAGAGGGGAATTCCTCCATACGTGATTGTAGGCACTTAATGCTGAGAATACAGCACTTGACAGGATGGTGGTAGCTTTTATATAGCGTGTTCCTGACTTCCAATCTTAAGATAGGGACTAGCAGATAAGAACCAAAAGTGTTATCAGGATAGAATCCTTTGTGGGTTTGAATTGACAGTGAACTAGAATTTAGAACTTGAGAACTATATGATGCTAAATTGTTTTTTCTGTAGAACTTCAACGTGTTTTTGTTGTTGTTTTTCACAGGGTTCCGCTCTGCAGTTCCGGCCGGCCTTGAACTCAAGGCAGTCCTCCTACCTCGAGCTCCTGATGCTGGCATTACAGGCAGGCTACCATGCCCAGCTTTCCTTTTGCAAATATTTCTGAATTTCCAAATCAATTGACTATTACAAATCCTACTGTTTGGGATTATACATGTGTTGTAATCTGCAAAATATTTGGAATATTGAAAAATCTATACATATCGTTGCTATCTGCATTGTTCAGTGTGGCATCAACTCCATGTGACTGCTGGACATTAGAAGTGGGGGGAGTCTGATGAATTTGATTTTATTTAATTAATACTGATTTAAATTTAAATTTAGCTGTATATGGTTAGTGGCTTCTATAATAGGCAAACACAAAAGTACTCTTAAAATAAAATTACGAATTTGTTGCCAGGCCAGGTATGGTGGCACACACCTGTAACCCCAATACTTGGGAGGCTGAGGCAGGAGGATCTCTTAGAATTCGAGGCCAGTCTGAACTGCATAGTGAAACCATTTCAAAAAGACAAAAAAAAAAAAAAAAAAAATTTGTTGGCAAAGAAATAGAACATGTTATGAATTCGGATCACTTCTTTTGTAACTTGCAAATCCATCACATAATGCTGTTCATTTTGTTTCAGGTCTCCCATTGAGAAACACGGCACTGTTTTCCTGCACTCTACCCACCTGTGGCTGGACTTCTGTTGGAACGAGTTGGCAGACACTGGCTGGAACTGGGCTGCAATAAAGCACGCCAGTCGTCAGTGCTGACAGGAGCCTAACAAGTGCCAGCTTTTCAGATGGTGATGCGTTGGGTCCTAATGAACTGTCTTAGCCTTCAGGAAGGATGTAAAGACCTGTACATAGCACAACATGGTCCGAATAATATATATGCCGTTCATGGACATCCACACACACACCTTGTACCAAATAATGCTTTCTGTAGTAGAATAAGAATCGTGTACATTCTGAAAGATTTTAGCAGGTTTTCTTTCCTTACTCATTGTTTCTTTCAGTTTTAAGACTTCTTAAAGCATGTCAGATGAAAAGCAATTAGGATTAAAAGTTTCCATTTAATTTCCTTTAAACCATGGAGGCTTCATGAAACTCCTTTCACTTTCCCATCCTAGACTTTTTCTGTCTTCTTTGTTTTGACACACTCCTTTTTGCTTTTGTCTCTTCTCTGTGCCAGAAAGTTCTCAGATCATTTAATCGAATACTGAGGTAGTTAGTAAGCAGTTACTTGATTTTTATTGATGACCGCAGAGGAGTGGTCATCACTAGGTGCTTTGTCCTTTTGTATTCTAGTTGCACCCTTGGATTGGATTAGCAATAACATTTCCTGGCTGTTGAGAGCTCTTGAACCCAGTCATTATCCCCAAACTAAACTTACTGAAATTGACCCCAAACAATACAAACTCTGTTAGGTTTTACTTTTGCCTTCAGTTGCCCAGTGTTAAGGGTGGATCAGTAAAGCATGCAGAGCTGCTGGCTTTCTCCTTCTGGGTTTGCTGTTAAAATACTATTTGGCCTCACACTTTTCTTAGTCCTTTATGTTTCTTTGTCTCTCTTCTATACTGCAGATTTTTGCTCACCTATTGTACAAAGAAATTGCGATGTATATTTTCATGTAATTTGATTTTGGAATTCTGTCACCTTATGTAGTGAGTTCTTCCAAAATACAATTTTTTTCCAATAATTGTCAAGTTGTTGTTGGCTTTTATTGTATTGAATGAAGGTTATAGTACTGAATGCCAGAGAAGTGCAGTTTAGAAAATCTCAGGTTGATTCCTTATGCAAACAAACTTAATACTTGAAAATCACATGGCCATGGTATTATGTGAATTGGGTTTTATCTAGATTCTTAACATGAATCTAAAAAGCATTGCAGGAGTAAATGCTTTGCTGTTTGATACACAGATTCTGTCACTGATGTAGCACACTTGGATTTGATTAATGTTTGACATAAGTATATTTCATATCATACAGTTTTTTAAAACAAGTTTAGCAACTGATAAAATGAGAATTGCAGTGTTAGAGTTAGGCCTAGCCTTTCCTCTTTTTGTTACGAGGTTAAGTGGGAAGTAGTGTTTGGCAAATGAGGGGTAGAACTTGAGACAGTTCCAGACAGGGCATGGTGTTTGATTGTGAGAGTCATTGCATCTCTGCTCTGAGAGAGTTTGGTGGCAATGCTTTGGCAGAAAAGCGAAAGGGTTCCTGCCAGCAGTCCAGACCTCTACCAAATTTGTGTGTCCTTTTTAAAGCAGAAGTAAAATGATAAAGGGTGTCGACAGTAGAGATGGAGGTTTTTTCCCCTAAACACCAGTCAGTTTTTCACTCTGAAGCATTGTAAAAACCCATAACATTTTTTTAAAAACATATAAATGTGTAGTGACTGTGAAAATTGAGTTGATTCACTGGAGCCCGATTTTCTTTGATCACTTGGTGACTATTTTTTTTAAGAGGCTGTAAAATTTACTGCCCCAAAGTGCTAGCACTGCACTCCTACAAGGGACTTGAAATGTAGTCCTTTTTACTCGGATCATAAATTGTCCACAGTGGTATCTTGCTTGTGGCAAGATGGAGTTAGAATTTTCCTTTTCTAATTGCTGTGATCCTGCTAACAACCTATTGACTTAAAATCTGGGATTTGACTCCTCAACAAGTAGCTAATGACCCAGTACCTCAGGGATAACTATTTCTGAACTGTAAGTGCCACTACAGTTATTCTGGTAGAACCATGTGGGTATTGAGGGCTAGATCTAGGGGAGTGGAAGAGCCAGAAGTGAATGCCTCTCTCACACTGTTTCCACCCGGTGCCCCGACCGTGCTACAAACACACAGGCCTCAGCAGAAGTTAGGACTCTTTTCCTCTGTCAGAGATGTCATCTGTGCCTTTCCCAGTGTTCATCTGACAATGTGAATTGAAATGCCTCTCTGTTATTAACTCACACTTGGGTGACACTGAACCAGGTGGTTTTTGACCCACCACTGCCTCATCGTTAGAATGTGAGGTAATTTTTCTCTGCTTTAGGAAAAGGAGTTTTCCTTCCTAACCTTGTGCCAATCATCAGCGTCTACATAGTCCTTTGGGTTATAGAACTGTCAGCTGTTTTCTAAATTCCAAGTTCTTGTAGAGGCTTAGGGAATTCAGTCTGTGTTCATAAAGGATGATCTCTCAGTGGCTTTCTGAGTGCCTCTTTTGAGTTTAATCCATATGAATTTGATTTCCTTGTCATTGTAAACCTTGTAAGTTCATGAGGTTATCCCACTGGTTCTGTGATCACTTGGGGTGTCATGGTTATCTTTAATGGCCTTTATTCCCAGTTGTGAAATTTCATATGCTTGCTCTTCTCTACAGATCTGCCCTCTTTGGGTGGTGGTGCCTGTGTATTTTGCCCGTCTGGTCTCCAGTTGGTGGAATTACCTTTTTTGTACTGCCACTTCTCAGCATCTTTGAAAATTTGACATAATATTGCTTCATTCCAGTTTTCTTTTTTTTTCTTTTCTTTTTTTTAAGTTCTGTAATTTGTTGATTGTATTTAACTATGTGAGTTTTGTTGTGATGTTTACTGTATTGTAAAGCACCTCAATCATGTGATGGGTGCTCTATAAATCAATAAATGATGACTTAGAGGCTGTATCATGAGCTATTTTGGTTTTAGGATGCAGGTCGCAAAAGCAAATTATGGGATTCTTTCTATATAAACAATATCTAATACGAAAGGGGGTATAGGGGAATCTTGATAAAGAATTTTTCAGACTTAAAGAATGTGAAGGCAGAGTGTTAACCTGACTTTCAACCTCATATAATGCTCTTTTAATTCCCTGTGATACACCACCAACCACCATCTTTTGTTAGTTTCTGTGAATAGTGATTTAGAAACTTAAAATGAGCACATGATAGAACATTATGGGGACTCTGTCTTTGCTTAAGCTGGCTCCACCTTAAAAGATAAATTAACCAGGGAAGAACTCAGACTCAGATGTGACCTGGAAGAGACTGAGCAGAAGTTCCATCTTAATTCCTTCCCCATGGGGAAATTTGCCGAAACACAGACCTATCCAGAGTTTCTTGTGGCAAAAGATACAAGACTGAGTGCTTTTTTTCTAGTAAACATAGTAGTACCTAGCTTTTTATCCTGAGTCCTTCTAGCTTGTGTTAGTCTAGCGTTTGGCTGACTTGCTATGTTTGATAATGTTGTTTGTGTTTATATGTAGCACAGTACTTTGCCACTGGACTTAGTCTCTTCTTTACCAATAGAAAACCTGGAGCTAGACTTGTTAGATACAGCTGAATTAGAAACAAAATCTTCTCTAAGAGCAGTTTTGAGACACCTGGGATCATCACAAGAGCTGCATTTTCCTGATTAATTATTCTGTATTTGAAATAAGATGGTGGGATGGTCTAAGCTGTGGTGGCGAACCTATGGCATGCACGTTGCAGCCAGCTGTTCATTACCCTTGAAAGCTCTAAAAGGTTCCTGGATTTTCAATGTCAGCTTCACACACAGACACCTATTTGAGGTACAGAACAAGAAAACTGTTCTCCATGCTTCAAGTGCAAGAGGATAGGTTGTTCATTCTAAACCTCAGGTACTAGGCTTCCAGGAAGGGTCAGTTGATTCCACCTCCCAACCCTTTCAAAAAGATAGGGCAATAACTAGCTGACCAGATTTGAACGTTAGGTTTTCCAGAGGCCTACAAATTCCAGCAGGTTTCAGTTTGTAGAGTAACTTACTTCCCTGCTGTAGCATGGTCAGTTTCAGATTCTTGTAATCAGGCTGCTAAGGTAGGGTCAGACCTTGTGGCTTGTGATGTGGCATTCTACACTGAGTGTTAGTGAAATGGTGATAAAATTTTGAATCCTGTTCACATAGGTGAAATAAACCTAAGGAGTTGTTACAAAAGGCAGCTCATCTTAGACATCCTCCCTCCCCTTCTCAGTATCCATTAGACTTGGCCACAGCCTCAACATACTGCCCATTAGAGTGTTCATCTTCCCCCTCACTACGGTGACCACTGCCTCACAGTCTTCCCTTGTGCTCTAGGTTTTTTAAATAGAGTTTTAGTGCATATAAATATTGCTCTTGTTCTGTTGCTGAGACAGGTCTTGCTGTAGTGCAGCCTGGCCTTGAACTCAACTGTTTCTCCTGCCTCAGCCTGCCAAGTGGTAGAATTACAGGTGTGTGCCACCACGCCCTATATGCTCTAGAATTTTGTTTCCCACCTGCTTTATTCTCTTGAGATAACCTCACACTAAGTTTCTCTTTAATCTGTGCCCAATTTGAACTGGGTATAACATAAGCTATTTTCCAGTGCTGAAATTTTTCAAAATGTTTCCATTATTTCAGGCATAGTATGGTGGGTGTTGTAGTTTGCTGGGTACTACAGATGCTTTATTTTAAAGGTTTTAATAAAGTCTGTAATTCAGGAGTTTCAGGCTAGTATAAACCTTTCAATAAACCATTTCTTAAAAGAGTGCTTTCTTCTTTCTGCTAAGAAGGATCCTTGAAGGTAGGTTGTGATGAAGAGGTATTTAAATCCCTGGCTTGCTTAAATCCCATCTGGTGAGTTCCAGTTTTATCGCAGGCCTCTAGTTCAAGCACACTCTAAAAAGACACATTTGTTTATCCCTGCCTGTATGCTTCTTATCAGCTCTCCGAGTGGGTTGGGTTTTTGCCCAATTTCTCAGAAAAGTAATGGGGGTTCTGAGATGCAGCAGAAAGCTTGCAGGGACATCATCATCAGTCAGTCATTAGTTGCAGAGCCAGCTTTGTAGCTAACTGCCAGAACAGCCCAACTTTTCACCTAATTAAACAATGGGAGCACCTGCTATCCCGCAAACCCCAACCAGCAGCAGTGAACCTGTGGGACTTTGAGTCAGCCTCTAGTTGGAGTACGTGTGCCACTGGTTCACCACCACTGCCTGGGCTGAGGCTAGTGAGAAGTCGGATGCAAAATGGATTATCAGCTTCAATGGCACTTGCCAACTACTCAGGTCATTTTTACATTATAACCCTGAAATAGTTTGGGGTGCCCTAAACATAAATACACCTGCTTGTGAACAGAGGAGGCAGGCCTGCCTGGCCACTCTGCAGGCTTCCTGTAAACCATTCTCAGCAAAAGAGAAAACTTGAGTATGTCAGTGCCGTCCGTTGAGCCTGGGAAGTGCCTCCTTGCCCTTCGTGTGATGGTGCAGCTTCTCTAAACACATCCCTGTCCAGACTTTCAAAACATGTTCAGCCTTGTGACACAACTGGAATGATGATTTCTGAGCACACGATTGTTTTTTACATACTCAGTGTCCTCTGTCCTTCCATCTAGGTATCTACTAGCAAGAATCCCCTCTTCAAAGTTTAGCCACTGATCTGTTTCCACAGTCAAAACAATTCCTTTGTCATGTCATGTCACTAGTCTGTTAAATCTCAGCAGCACCTACAACTTCCCCAACACTAAACACTTCCCTCTTCAGTTCTTGTACCCTCATCCTCTTTTCAGATCTTTGCAGCATCTGTCTGTGGAAGCATTCTTGATTCTTCTTTAAGAGGGAAAAAAAAGGAAGGACAAATTTAAAACTTTTATAGTGGTAAGGATCAAAGCCAGAGCCAAACCAACACTTAAGTGAGAGCTTTTTTTTTTTTTTGAAAGGTCTTACACTATTTAGCTATATTACTCAGTAATCCTCCATTTTACTGTTTTCTGACAATTACCTTCACACTCACAGTATTTTGATACCTGAGTTACAGTTTTCCTATCTTTAAATTCCAACATCCAGTTTTCTTGCCTTTTCATTTCCACTCCATGACCTTGCTGTGGGCTTTGTCATCTGATGCCATTTTAACTTGTGAACTCCAGTTTGCCACTTTGACCACTGAGCTCTCACAACTTTATTTGTACTGCACCAGTTTTTAGTTATTACAGTTGCCCTGCAGTTTTCATGACCCCTATATCAGCCCCTAGCCACTATTCATGATCACTTAAATTGTAGTCTCATAATCTCTGCTTCCCTCCCCTCTCTTTCTGTGTATCACTGTATACGTAATTTTTAAAATTGCCAATAAAATCCGAAGCTCTGGACATACGCTGTCATTCAGATTTGTGCTTTTGCAGTCCTGGTGGCTGGATTCTAGAAAAAGTAACCCATCCACAAATACGTGAGAAGATGGAAAACCATGCCTTTCAATCTCAGCGTCATCTTCCAAATTTTCTTCCTTTCCCTTTGGTCTTCCTGCCCAAGAACTTCACACACAAAATTTACGTCATCACACCGTATTCCTGAGAGATCCTTCTCCCTACACATCTATTTACTTGTACGTCCTTGTGTCCCAACGTTTTAGGAGAATAAAAGAGGTGACCTGCCTGTAGTCTAACTTTAGTGCCTTTCTCCTGAGTTTTGTATCGCATGCTGAACATCTCACATACCCAGGGACATGAAACTATAATCCACTTCCTCTCCATTGGCTCCCTGCTCCCAACTCTCACAACCTTACAAACCAACCTAGAGACCAACTAAACCCTTCTAGGCACGCTTCTCCAAACAGTAACATGCATCCTTCGTGTCCTGCCCAGGGAGTGAAGTAAGACAGACCCCAGGCAGCGCTTGCTAAGGCGCAGCCTGGGAAGCACCTTATCGGGCGGAGCCCAGCTCCACCTCCATTCAGTCCTCTGCTATAGCCCTCGACCCCTCCCTCTGCCGCACCTCCCACGATCCTCGCGAGACTTGGTGGCTGCGTTCCGCGCGTACTCTCGCGATGCTGCAGGCAGAGCTTGGCCCGACATGGCGGAAGGTAGGCTTTCTGTGGAGCGGCGAGCGGAGCTGGGGGCTGGTGTTGGCCTGACGGAGCTTCCCTAGAGGGATGGCCGGGCGTGGTCGCCTGGGGCACAGTCGGATTCGCGAGCCTTCCTTTCAGTCTTCTGAGTTCCATGGGCCAGGGGTCCTGGGCACTGTTCTTATGGCAACGCCCCTCCTGTAATCTGATCCCGCGGGACCGTGGCGGGCTGTGGGTCTGCGCCGGGAGGTGAGGTTCCGGGACTAAGTACCTGCTGCCGAGCTCGCAGGTCTGCAGGGTAGGCTCTTTGCACTATCCGCGGTGCCCGGACGGTGGAGGAAGTGACCCTTTTCTTAGGAAATCGAAAGTGCTGTCCTGGCGCGTTCTGCATCCGGAAAGGGTACATCTCTTGCCTGCTGAAAACCTTGGGACTGTTCTGAATGAGGGAGTGGGGAAAGTCAGGGCTGCAAGGGACCGACTCGCCGTGGGCATGCACTGTATTGTGTGCGCCATGCAGCAGGTTCGGTTTTATAGATTGTGACCAGGGGAAAGGGATTGCTTAGGTAAGGGAGTTGACCCACGCCACACTGCTCAGAAGAGGTTCGCTAAAACCAGCTCCTTCTGGAGCTCTTTATTTATGACTGCAGGTAAAGACGGTGTGGTTTCTTAGCTTCCGCCTTCCTCAATGTGGTACTGTTGGATCTCTCTTTGTCAAAGACTCAGCGTACAGGTGGCGGGAGAAGACCAGGTGATGAGGAGTTACCTGTCAGGGATCATACAGTGATAGGGTTGGACCTGACCTGTGTGCCTCTCCTGTCTACCTTGTGATTGGAGAAAAATACTTTGACCTAATGTTTGTTGAGTGACTGCACTGTGCTTGGGCATGACTTGTCCTGCTGGTTTTGAGCTAAGCTTTGACTAAACCCACTATTTTTTAGATCTTAGATTTGGTTAGCACATAACACTATAGATTCTTCTCATTTGAATCAATTTAAGAGGAACCTCTGAAGGACAGGTAGGTATATTATTTTGTCTTTATAAATAAACAGATCAAAGTTATAGAAATAGCTGGAACTGGACTCAGTTTTTATCTTTGCTTTTTTAAATATTTTTAAGACAGGCTCTTCCTATGTAGTTCAGAACTATGTGGCCCAGGCTGGCTTTGAACTCATGGCAATCCGCAAGTCCCAGGATTACAGGTGTGCCTGGTTTATATTTGCTTTTGCTACTGTGTTAGACTCCTTGGAGAGGGAAGCTGGGTGAATGCTGTGAAAGAAGAGAGGAAGCAAAAGAACAGGAACGAAAGCTAGGTTTGGGGTAAATCCCAGAATGTTGTTTCACACTGTGGGAAACCAGTGAATTGAAACCTGTTGTGCAGTGCTTCGTGGTGGAGTGGGAAGGTTCAGGAGGACCTCACGCGAGATCGTGGATTGTCTTCTGCGTTAGGATTAGAAGCTGATTTTTGTGGGGTTACATTTCCAACGTGGAAGCTGTGGAGGGCAGCTAATTTTTTTCATGCAGTGGTTTTATGAGCACCTGCCTTCGTCTTGGGTCTCAGCCATGGGAAGTTCATGTAGACCGAGGTCAGTGTGCAGTTCATTTACCTGCAGATGCTCGAGCTGTGTATTAGGGTGAGCTCGAGAGACATCTAGCTTGTGGATTGCACACCATAAACAAAATGTCCTTTAAGGGTTAAATTGACTAGAGGAGACTGATGGAGAGATAAGCAGTTTTGAGATTCTGACTTCATAGTTTTACATTTTTTTGTATTGCAGTTCTGGCCTTAGTTCTAATTAAAGCTTTTCAAAAATGATATTGTTGTGAACTTTGATCAGGAAAAGTTAAGGAATGCATTTTAGTTCAGTCAGGTCATTAAACTGAGATGCTTGATATGCATAGGAAGGCAAGATTAGGTAGGAAAGGGTTTGTGAGGTGTTACTTATTTAATGCTGCTTGTATTTTAATCAGAAGTGGACAAGCTGGCTACTGTTCTGAGATACTCCTTTACATATAAACAAATAGCAAAAGTGTATCTCATGTAACAGTTAGATTAACTATAAGCACACTCAGTGGAAGCAGTTCTGATATTGATGGTGGTTTGGTACTAGTGAGAATTAGGGCCTCGGAATAGCAGTGGAACCTGGAGAGACAGAGTGTAAAATACTCAGTACAGTGGTTTTTGTACAGTAACTTCTTACGTGATTTCTTGTGTGGCTACGTAGAAAGAAACCTTCTGTCCTCCCATCAATCTATGAGTTTTTATTTGACCGTATCTTTCCTAAAATCGAGTTCATTTCCACTCTATGTATATCTCTTTGGCTCTGCTACTAACCTTTGCTTCAGAAGCCCCCTAATGGTCTTCCTACTTTTATTTTTTCTCCTTGATTTTGCTTCCCCATAGCCTGTATTTAGTTTCTAATGTCCCTTTAAAACACATCAGAGCTTATCTCTCCCATTCTTAATTCCCTTACTCTTTCTTTCTGACTCCCTGGATGTGCATGGTCTTAATGTATATATTTTCCAGAGCCTTTTGGTGGCCTTCAGTTGCCACCAGGATCTGGCCTTGCTTAACACTGCAACCTTATTTCCTTCTCTTCTCTATAATAACTGTGCACCTGCTACAGTAACTGGGTGTTCATTTGACCTGGCACAGTCTTCATTGCTCTGTGTGAAAAAGCTCTCCTTGCTAGAGGATGAACCCCATAATGACAAAATCTTCTTCTGTTTTTGTCATGACTATTTCTCAACATGGACTTATTCCTAGGCTGAGGATGCCATTCAGTGGTAGTGCTTGCCTACTAGCATGCATGAGTTCTGAGGCCCAGTCCTCAGCTATCCCCCTACAAAAATCATGCCTATAGTTGAAAACTTGTAAGGGCTGAGGGTGTACTTTAGGAGCTTTACCTAGCACACAAGAGACCCTGGGATCAATTCCCAACATCCTTTTTGAAAAAAGAAAAGAAAGTTGACTGGATGTATCATCATTTTCTTATCAACTAAACTGAAGGCTCAACTTTTCGTTTTCCTTGCAGTGTTGAGAACAGGCTCAGAGTCAGCTGTACGCTAAGCATGCATTGTAGCTTTGAGCTACACATCCCAGCCGTCTGGTTCAACTTTTATTATGTCCTGAATAAAATCAAGTCTGCTAAGATCTAACCTTTTGAAAAATCCAGCCCATTTTAGTCTTACATTTAAGCATAATGCATAAGAGCTTGGACTCTGCAAGTAAACCTGGGATTGAAGGTGAACTAAGCTGTAATGATAGGGAAGTCAATTATTTGCTCTTATAGGTAGATACGATGATCAAAGGAAAGTCCACGAAGAACACTTAAATGTAAATGGTTTGTTAATTAGAGCTGACTGAAAGGAATTTAATCAAGAAAATATTTTGACACCAATTTAATCACAAGAAGACATTTTTTAATTTTGGGAATTCACTACCAACTAGCCATATGTAGCTACTTGAATTTAAAATTAAAATTAAACATTTAGTCACCCTAGACCGATCCGAGATACTCAGCAGTCAAGTGGCTAATGATTCCCATACTGGACAGCACAGGTTAATGGAATACTTGCATGTTCACCTTGCAGAAAATGCTGTTAGATGGTACTGTTCTGGAAGTGGTTACTCAGCAGAAAAAAGGAGAGAAGAAATTGATGTCTTTCCAGTTTTGAAACTTATCTATTCATGTGTGCTTTGACTCATTGAACAGATGTGCCAGGCTATCAATAATTACCTAGTTAGAGACCTCTTAAGAAGCACTATCCCCCGCTGTTGCTGTTCCTTTTCTTTACCTTTTACTTCCATTACCTGCAGTTACCTTTTTTCTTGGGAATTTTCTTTAAACAAAGAACAAGGTTACCCTTTTACCTCCATGATTGTGGCTGCCCCTGAGTCAGTGGAGATACCCAGGGTTTAGTTGCTAGAGGGGGTTTTGCTGCAGCAGTTTGAGATGCTTTACTGATTTACAATCAAACTGATTTACAGTCATGCCCAACAGTCTGGAGACTTCTGTTGAATCTGAGTAACCACAGATCTACTGTGGTATTTGTCGAACTCCATCTAGGTAGGGTTCAGGTAAACATGGAGTTGGGGTGGAGGCAGTGGTTTAAAGATAAGAGACTTACTAGAGGGAACTCCGAAGTCTAGGAGCCTGAAAAAAGTTTTTTAAAGTGTATGATAAACTATTATGAGGTAAAAGGTGAAAAGCGCTTAGGAGCTAGTGTGAAAAATTCACAAATACACTGGGGATTTAGCTCAGTGGCATGAGTGCCTGCCTCACAAACGCTAGGTTGTGAGTTCGATCCCCGTACCAAAAAAAAAAAATCAAAAATAGGAATACCTTTTTAAGGACTATAGTTGGAAGTCTGTTTTGAGTAGTCTGATTCAGGAGACAGTGTTTAAGCTGGACTTTGAAAAATAGCCTTCTGGACCTGGGGTGAGAATAGTGAGAGGTCAGGATTCTCAGTGGAAGGAGTATAGTGGGTATGAGGCTGAACAAGTATGTTAAGGACTGTGTTTATGATGGCCCTTGGTTGGGCGTTTGGATTTGATGCAGTGGGTCAGGGGTGACATTGCCAAAGGATATGTTAGTCCAGGTAGTCATCCACCGAAACTGAAGCCTGTTGAAGTAGTTGCAGGGTAGAAGAGGGAAAGGAGGCTAGAGGGAGAGGATAGCAGTTTATCATGAGTCATTTAACAAGGAGCATTGAGGCTGGTGCAGACTGCAGTGAATGAGACTGTAGGAGGTATCAAGACAGGACTTTCGAAACCTGCTTAAATGCCGGCAAGAGAGTGATCAAAAATGTCTCAAGGGTTGTAGATCTGAATGACTCAGATAATGACTGAGCTTCCAACAGGAAGAGGAGGACCAGATTTGAGAATAAAATATCCTTTTTGAGATAAGGTCTTAGTTCAGGCAGGCCTTGAACTCACTATATAGCCTAGGCTCGTCTTGAACAAACAGCAATCCTGCCTCAGCCTTTTGCACTACCACACCTGGCTAAGAACAAAATAC